GCCACTTACAGGGAACAGTCTCAGCCGAAACGCATTGGATGCACGTCCCTCGCTGCCAACACAACTGTTGCCCAGGGGACAGCGAGGCTGATGTCAGGCACTTCATAGCGCCGGCCCCACATACCGCTCTCGCCACGGCCAGGTCCGTTCAGGTTCCTGACCGCGGCCAGGTTCTCACGAACAATCGCATTATTCGGAGGCAAGGCAGGTACAGCCGAGGCCGCGCCACGGGCAGACAAAACTATATAGGCGTGAACTGGCTCACCACCAGCCGCGAGACGCTGTCCTGAACGTTCGCCACTAGCCTGACTCGCCCCACGTCCACAGTCAGCCGCATCACGAGTGGGCTCCGTCGGCACGGGCGCAGCTCGCGCCAATGGGGCCCGAGCGCGGGCCGCACCCGGCGGCGCCACTCACAAGTACGGGTTCAGCAGGTTGGAGGTGCTCGTGCGCTCGAAGCCCGTGACCTGCACGCGGATCGGGTGGTTGGGGATGAAGCAGCGCCGGTTCACCGACTTGAAGTCCTCCGGCGGCGCGTGGATGCTGGAGAACGGCAGCATGTGCTTGGCTGCCAGCCAGGGGCGCCAGTTAGCCGACGGCGTGTGGGCGGCCCGCGGCGGCGTCGGCTGGCACGCTACGCGCAGTGGCGGACCGGCCCGGCCCGGCCCGCCACCGCCTGGGCACGGACCGTCGCCGGCGGCGACACACGTACACAACACACATACAGTGCGCGCCACACCGAACCCAGATGGATCTGGCGACGGATCTGGAGACGGATGTAGTGGCGGATCTGTACCCAGCAGGTGGGCAGCAATACCCCCCAATACATTCGGTTCCGTGTCGGTAAGGTACGCGGGAGCCTTGACAACGCAGAGGTCCTGATAACAGGACGCCTGACACGCACCTACGTATATACTCGAGATACGGATCTCCAGGAGTGCACAGAGCGCCCTCGATAAGCGCAAGCTCACACAAAGAGAGAACGAGGGGTAAACATATATTTTAGGGGCCATGCAAAGAGAAATACGTTATCATGTAACCAATCAAAGACAGAGAACAGCATGGAACACAGGGAGCAGAGAATGAGAAAGAGCGAAAATGCCCAACCGGAAGACGGAAGTGCAGTGTAAGCACGTGGCCAAGCATGATACAAAGTAGAACATTGGGGAGAGCGAACACGAAACTACACCCCACAATCACCGCAATGCCATGCCATATCTTACCCCTTCGTCGTCTAGCTGCGAGCAAAAATGTGTTCACAAATGAAAGCTACCCTCATATTATCGATGCACACAAATATATCTAAAAATCATAGATCTGGAGGGTCAAGGTGCAGATAGGAGCGTAGCTGAACAACCGTCCATGAAGCATGCATTCGCTGGCAACAAGGTTTTGTGTTTTCGAACAGGAGTCGCCGACTGAAGGTCGAAGGTCGTCAAGTGAGGGATCATGTCACGCATACAGCACACTTGTCCTCAGTCAGCTACAAGTGGTGGGTGAGCAGGTGTACGTTAGCACGTGATTGCTGACACGTGACGTACCATCCCCACTTAGGGCGCGGGAGGGGCCGTTAACGAAGACCCCGCCCGAACAGCTAACATTCTTCTAAAAATACTACAAAGCGGACGGATGCTGTGCTTCAGCTGCGATAGGAAATGGCCTCCGTCTGTCATAAGCGCTACATGGACGTCGTGCGTGGGCATAATCCAAAGCCCTGGCAACGCGGTCACATTATGCTGCTCCGGTTATGTGCGACGAAGCTGGAGCAAGAGGTGGCAGCATTCCTCCCTCGTGTTCTCATAACGGAGCTGCGGCCGCCGTTTGCACGCTCCGACGTAAGAAAATCCCCCCACAATCCACTGACGGGGAATTAACCCCGACCCCGATCCCGGTTCTCACCAGGGTCGCACCCCCGACCCACCGCGCCCCGGTCCTGACCTTGAAACCGACCTCGATACCACCCCTGACTCTGACCTTGACCTTGGCCCCGACCTCGACTTTGGCCCCGAGCCGACCCGACCTCGTCGACGGCGCCGCTCACCGTCGGCCTTCCCGTCGGCGTCCACGTCGTCGACGCCGTCAATGTACTGCAGTTCGTCGAACTCCTGCTCGGCCGGGTCGGCGGTGGCCATGGCGGCGAACGCATCCTGGATGGCGTCCGTGAACGAAGGCTCCTGGTCGGCGTCGGCCGCCGCGTCGGGCGCCGCGCCGGCCCCCTCGCCGGCGCCGTTGGCCGTGCTGCTCATCTGACCTGGTCAGCGGCTTCAGACACCTGCCGGCCACACACACGGCTGCCGGTCACCGGCGCACGGTACGGCCACGGCTCTGCATACGCTGCCGTGTGCGCACAGATACTGCACAGCGCCAGTGTGGGCCTTGATGGCCACGTCCCACACACAAACGGGACGGTAAGAATGTCCGGAGTTCCGTCAAAAACAAACGATTTTTGTGTTAAAAGTTCACAAATGTGCTGTTTGACCTGCGGTACTAATTCAGTCAGCTATGACCGCGGAGGAGGGTTTTGTACTTCAGCCGTACCGAAGTATTTACTAAAAGGCAGGCCGGATACCGTACCACCGCCGTTGTTAATGGCCGAAAAATATGGTCCGAAACAGCTGAACTGTCTGGCCTCCATTAAGCAGTGGGAGCGGAAAGCACGCGCAAATGAGACAAAAAGTACCTATTCTTTGACAACAGTGTGCGGCTTGGAGGAAAGGCAGCACTTCGTCACGCCACAGGCATTGGGAACGCAGGGAACACAGGAACACTGGGAACACAGGAACGCGGGGGACACAGGAACGCAGGGAACACAGGAACACTGGGAACACAGGAACACTGAAAACATGGGAACGCAGGGAACACAGGAAACACAGGAACGCATGGAACACGGGAGCGCATGGAACACAGGAAAACTGGGAACACAGGAACACTGGGAACACAGGAAGGCAGGGAACACTGGGAACACGGTGGCACTGGGAACACGAGAAACGCAGGGAACACAGGAACACAAGAACACAGGGAACACAGGGAACTGGGAACACAAGAGCACTGGGAATGCAGGAACATTGGTAGCACACGAACGCAGGGAACACCGGGAACACCGAAACGCAGGGAACACGGAAACACTGGGAAGGCGGGAACGCAGGGAACACAGGAACACTGAGAACACAGGAACGCGGGGAACACAGGAACACGGGGAATACAGGAACGCAGGGAACACAGGAACGCAAGGAACGCAGAAACGCATCCACAAGCAAACGCAGTTCAGGAGTATCTTCACAGATGAGCCTCGGGGATGGCCGGCCATCGCCCTTCACTCGATGATGTCACCCCAATCGATAACAGCAATCCAACAGCTGAAAAAACATCCGTTTATTTCAAGGTTACGTTCCCGGAAAGTAGCTGCCCACCCACAGCTAGCGCCGTCTGGTGGACCCACCTGAGGCCAGGGAAAGGCAGCCGGGTATCGGGCGCCCGGGCGCGCGAACTGAGATGCGGACAAGTGGCCGCTTCCGCAAGGGGAGCTGTGACTGGGCTGATCCATGACTGGGCTGGCGCGCCACAGACTGGGCTGGTGACGCCGGCCGAGCCGTGCGGGCAGCGCAGGGCGCGCCCCGGTTATTCGTGTGTTCAGGGACCTGATGAGTCGCGTACCGCTACCGTGGCTCAGTTACCGACCAATGCCGCTACCGTGGCTCAGTCACTGACGAATACCGCTACCGTGACTCAGTTACCGACCAATGCCGCTACCGTGACTCAGTTACCGACCAATGCCGCTACCGTGGCTCAGTTGCCGACCAATGCCGCTGCCGTGCTTCGTTTGTCGTTCAAAGCCGCTACCGTGGCTCAGTTACCGACCAATGCCGCCACCGTGGCTCAGTTACCGGCCCGTGCCGCTACCGTGGCTCAGTTACCGACCAATGCCGCTACCGTGGCTCAGTTACCGCCCAATGCCGCTACCGTGGCTCAGTTACCGACCAATGCCGCCACCGTGGCTCAGTTACCGGCCAATGCCGCTACCGTGGCTCAGCTATCGCCCAGTGCCAAATTGAGAGCATCGAAATCACCCCAACGCCAAGAACGAAGACGGAATGTTCGAACGGAATGAATGTGACGGACGAAGACGGAAGACGGAATGTGAAGACGGAATAGTCAAGTGCAAAGTGACGCAATCTCTGAGACCTGAAAAAAATCAAGGTGAACTTATCAAGGATGCCTGAATTATAGACGACACTTTAAAAGACAAGCGGAATCGCCTGATGCGTCCCACATCGTTCAGTTCAGCGCACGTAGTGCTCAGCGTGCGGACAGCACTTTACTGCTAGTGCGCACGCGCTTCCGGTTTGTTGACACTTTTCTGCAGGCATCCTTTTGATTAATACGAAGCCAGGCCGGCGCCACTGTACAATATGACCCACATTTCCGCGATGGGCAGCTTAACAGGCACCAAGCAGTCCCTTGGTCCGGCGCAGGCGGCGCTTATTCGATAGCTGCTCCCTGCTCGGGGCGAGCACAGCTGGCCTCAGGGCCGGCCAGCTGCAGCGGCGCGCTGCGCGCTGGCCGCCGCCCCACGCACCACAGGCGCGCCCACCGCTCGGCGCACGAGCGACGGTCGAGAGGCCGGCCGCCAGCGCCGCGGCCGGCAGCCGGCCCTGCCAGCTCGCCGGTGAGGCTCCCTCTAGCAGCAACAGCCAAACGGTGCCCGGCTACGGCGTCCATAGAATACTTTGCAAATATCTGTAATCATCCACTTCAGTGGATTCAATCCTTCAACCCTTGTAGGTACGGGTTTACAAAGATCGCCGACCGTCATTCCAAGACTCGCCGTCCTTTCCGACAAACGCCAAATGTCGACTGTCCTCCGACGCCCGGCCCTGTCCTCCCGACAGACGCTGAGTGTCGACTGTCCTCCGACGCCCGCCCTGTCCCTTCCGACAGACGCCGAGTGTCGACTGTCCTCCGACGCCCGCCCTGTCCCTTCCGACAGACGCCGAGTGTCGACTGTCCTCCGACGCCCTGCCCTGTCCTCCTGACAGACGCCGAATGTCGACTGTCCTCCGACGCCCGCCCTGCCCCTTCCGACAGACGCCGAATGTCGACTGTCCTCCGACGCCCACCCTGTCCTCCCGACAGACGCCGAGTGTCGACTGTCCTCCGACGCCCGCCCTGTCCCTTCCGACAGACGCCGAGTGTCGACTGTCCTCCGACGCCCACCCTGCCCCTCCCGACAGACGCCGAATGTCGACTGTCCTCCGACGCCCGCCCTGTCCCTCCCGACAAACGCCGAATGTCGATCGACCTTGTCCCGCTCAGGCACGCGGCTTTCTCCCCAACAATGAGCGGTTCCGAAGCGGGGTCGAGGTCAAACGATTTACGCCTAATGAATACAGCCGAATGCTGGGAGACGCAGGTGGCCATTCGTACGACGGCCGTCTATCTTTGCGTGCCAGAGCGCATCGAACGTTTTTCCAGCGCTGGGTCGCTAAAATGGCTACATTAAAAAATGTCCGATGCTAAAACGACTGAGTACATCTTTGACACAGGAAAACGTGTGAGTGTCACACGTTTGTCACACACATGACACACACAGTGTCATGTGAGTAAGTCACAAACCTGGCGAAACTACAGCACTGGCAGATTCGAACCTCCATTTCACGAACCGATGAGGGTTGCCGGCTAAGGAAGCGTCGTCAGTGACCTTATCCCCCGCCCTTATAGGGGAATGTGACCCCTTCCCTCTCTATGATTCTTCGAGGGCATCTCTGCGGCATGTTACGTAATCGCGCCCAAATTTTCATTAGACCCTGGGGCATTTATCGCACGTATTTTGGTACCAATAACGTGTCTCTTTGAAGCCTTTCTGACTTCTGCGTAGCGACGGTTTTTCACAGTGATCCACGACCTGAGCGGACGGCCGGTAGCAGGCGACGCATCCGCCGATCGTGCGTAGTGGGCCGACAGCTGCTACAGTAAAGAAGTACCACATAACCAATATTTGATCAAACCACATATAAATGCGCACATCAATGAACAGGAAAAACCTTTGTCTACGTTCATGCTGCTGCCGTGGCATGGTTACACTCAAATGTAGCGCTAAATAGAGCTGTTGTCCTGAAAAATTGCATTTGACCTGGTCTAGAGCGATCAATTATTGATCATCCACATCAAACGCATCACAACTCAGGAGATCTCGTTAAAAACAATCCAATGTTCTTTCCCACGAGGCTCCATTTTTCTTAGTTTGGAAATGGCAGGAGGAGGCCTACATTGCTTCAATATTCGCCGCTTGGGCGACCGGGACATCGGCATTTGTCATGTTCCCCCTACCCCCCCCCCCCCCCCCCCCAGTGTTTCGTGTTCACTGTCGTGATGCCTCTCCCACTGCTTAAAATGACCAAACAGCATAGAGCGAGCGGCGGTCAACCCAGCGCCTAAGCGCCTCAGGCTTGATAAGAAGACCGGACAGGTGGAGTGTCGTTCAGAGTCAAATAGCTATGGATTAGCGCCGCCGGTTTGCGTGCGGAGTCCGCCGGAGAGTCGGGATTCTGATAACATGAAGTGATATGTACATCCTGCACACCCCACTGGGTGAATCTGGAACGCTGGGGTCGTATGGAGCCCCTTACCCCAACAGTCCGCGTCATGAAAAGCAGGGAATCAGAGCGGGCGTTGCAGTCTCCCTGAGGTCACGCGGAAATAGCTGTCACACACTCACACTATCTACGTGCGCTATCCCACCTGAGGATAGCGTGCATAGCTATCCACGCACCCACAAACTTAACCCCACTAGTTCAGTCCATCTACCCCAGCTCTTTTACGCACGTCCAAGACCCTGGCAGGAGAGCTAACATCTGAAAAACCCTTGGTTTGATGCATCTTTTTCCCTTTCTCATATATTTAACCCGAACCTTTTGGGTGAATAGATTTCTGGGATCGCAGTTCACACTAAACAGTTTTTGTGTGAGTACTGACCCCACCATCCGATCGCGCAATGCCGGGCCAACGACGGAATTTGACGGCGAGAGCTTAAACTACCGCGATGTTTGGCAAGGTTTGTCCCGCCCTCTGACGTCATCTGAGCTCTATCACGGCCGCTTCTACCAGCTGCAGACCATACCTGTCAAGGGCAAAAAGCGAGCGCCTACAGAGACTAGAACTCACCCCACCACGGGTGGGGAAAATCGGGAGGCAGGCGCTATTACCAACTGAGCCATCAGGATGGACCGCGCATCTGTGATACAGTATCGCGCAGTTACAAAGTGTGCTCGTGGTATGCAAACGATCCTCCCATCAGGATCTACGTCACAAGCCTCCCATCACCAGTGAGCCCAAGTAAAAGCACAACAAACCTCAAAGGAGACCATGTTCGGTAGTGCTCGGGCCTCGCCGCAGCACGGCGCTTACTCGGGCAGGGAAGGGGAGGGGGGGGGGGGGGGAGGCACACAGAAGATCGGGGAGCATGGTGCCAGCAGCATAAATGGCAATTCTGGGCAATGTAACAATGTTGAGTCTCCATAGGCACATTGTTTTCATGCTCTGCATTCCCCAATGGTTGTGACACACACTGTGAAAGTGTCAACCTATCTGAGTGGCACTGCCAGGCCAGACTGCCAACAGTGTTTTTCAGGGACCCAAAAAAGCTATAGTAGGAGCTTCCACCTGGACACAGCTACACAGATGCTTGAGCGGAAGTGACAGCAGCTGATGCCACCAATGATGGCAGGCTGGACCTAAGCCAATGAAAAAGGAAAGAACCTTATGATTGGTATTTTTTTAAAGAACAATAAAAACAGCCTCAGTAGCCTGAGGCCAGTGCAACACCGGCAGTCTCTGACTGACAGAGTGTCAATGTTGAAATGGTTAGCAGGTTACTTGACAGGCTGTATGCAGTTATACTGGGATAACACTTGGTGTAGCTGCAGAGTCCATGCCCTTTGCAGCATTTGGGTGTTGCACAGACCAAGTCAGGTTGACAACCCAGAAAATATGGTAACATTTTAATATAGTGACTACCCTTTAACACAGTTTTTCAATAATCAGCTGCTTTGAAATAATCCAGATGGATGTTAATTCACTCAATGATCAAGGGAGGAGCAAATTGGAAACTGGACTAAGGCTCCCACATATGCATTATGCCTACTATACTCTACTTTACTTGTTTGTGCATGGCAATTTTACTAACTACTGTCCACATGTTTTCTATACATTTTAAAATTGTCTACATAAGCTTTTTATTGCTGCAGATTTGTTCACTGCAGGTTCAACACCTTCATATTTAAATCTTCCCTGAACAAACCTTGCTATTGGATCAATCAGAGCCACTGAACTGACAAGGTTAATTATATGGACACCAGTGGTTCAATCAGACTTCTACAATTGCATCAAAGTAACTTTTATGGTTGAATATTAATGCAAGCCCAGCAACATACCTTTATCAAGTAATACATACATTTAATTAGTGAACAGAAGAAGCCAATTTGTTCTTCTCTGTCCATGCATGAGTACTCACTTGAATGCTGTCAACACTACCTTGAAAGGGTTGTGTTTGGTTTGGCTTGTAGTATTTTTTTTAAAACCCACAAAATGTGTGTGTATACATCTGCATGGCTTTGTTCTCTCCTGAAGTCTTTTGAGGGAAGCCTCAAATTACATGGTGGAAGTGTTAAATGATGTTCCAAAACAAGTATTTCCATTAAGTACTTTCCTTTAGCTGCTAGTGGCTGGTACCAAACCTCATCTTTCATTTAACTCTGACATTGGTGACAAAGTCTGGCACTGTTCAGGGATAATACAATATATCTGCTGGGAGAAAAAAAGATCTACCTGTCAGGGAACATCCAGGAAAACCACTAAGAAAAACATCTCAAATTTGCATCATTGAGCAATGACACTCATTGACAGCTGAGTTAGTAAAATGGGGGGTTGAGTTCCTCGCCAAGCTGATATCAATCTTTGTGTGCAAACATCACTTGCAGAGAGACTAGAAGCATGCTTCAGATAGCAATTTGAAGTCCATTAAACTACAAACTGGGGCGGTGATTACACGATGATGGCCCCAATGCTGGAGTCTCCAAGCAAACCATCTACCCACAACTACCTGACACTTCAAATGGTGTTCGGTGCAGAGGACAAGCACAAGTATCACAAGGATTAAGGTTTAGGGTAAGCCGCGCATAGCTTTTGCCCGCTCGCACACTACGCTGCGGCCGAGCGAGCAGGATGGGCGTGGCGGTCTGACTCACGAACGAAAACGTGAAATCACAAACGTGGGCAAGCCTGCGTTTGTCAGTCTCCGTGGTTAAAAACAAAACACCACATAAGAACAGCACGAAATCGGGAATACTCACAAAGAAGACCGCAATCCCGAGGCAGAGGCGAACGCGCCTATCCCAAACACTAGGATTTCTCCAGGAAAGCTGTTTGCTCCGGGCGGCTGCTTTAGGACAGCGCTGTCGCGCCAGCGCCTGAGCGTAACGACCTTGACCAAGGCCGTCGAAAATCCTGGCGCTAGCAGGTGCCCTTTATTTACTGCCATTGTCTATTCTACTGCAAAACTCGAGCCAACCCGACGGTGCACGCGTCCAGCTCATTCGTGACGTAGAACAAAGCATATTTTGAGTGATGCATGTAAAATTGTTCCGTCACAAACATATTTTTATCGAGTCGATATAAACAGGGATCCAAATTGTTCTTTGAAACATGTCATCCCATGAACATCAAACAATTACCCAAACACCACGAGTGTAGATTTGCGTTGGTATGGTTGGAACACCGCTACCCAAATGTCCAATCTGCCCCATCCGCCACCGGTGAGTTTGCATTTCCCCACCACCTCGGGGCTAATTACAATCAGGACATTATAACTATTGCATACAAATTATATAAATTTTAAAAATGGTTTTACTTATTGTTCCACTGGAAAAGGAACAAAGAAAATAAAGTTTCCGATGCAATGTCCAGCTCAGCGCAGCAACAGCTACTTACGCTCTGCAAGTTCCATGTCGGTATCCGGCTTACTCGAGTATGTTCTGTTTTCCCTATATGCTGCACGTTTTTAATTACATGATTAGTTTGTTTTGCTGGCTCTGATCTAGTTTTGTGATATCGTCTGAGCGTTTTGGCATTATTCAGGATTATCTTAGTTTCTACAGACAGCAGCAGGTCACATTATTATAGCACGACGTGTGGTCGGAAATTTAAAACAAACTGGTCGAATATTAGCAACCAAAACGTGAGAAAGCTACTTATCACCTGTCTACGCCTGGAGCCAGCATTTAAATTTGCCGACTTCCATCTGTATAATTTTGATATTGCTCTCTGAACAGATGAACATTGAGAGCAATATGAAAATAAAGGCCCTAATTTTACTTGTCTGGTTCAGCCACCAAATAGCAGACTGGTTCTAGGCGCCGTGAACGCTTATATGCTCCCCCGGGAAATATTTCAAAATCACACAGGTAACGCATGCTCCGGACTTTCTTCTAAAAGTACGAATTGGCACTCTGAAACGTCAAAAGGTTCTTCTGCCGGAGACATTATCTTTTTCGCCCGCCCGCCGGACACCCTATATAACCTCGCGAGGATGCCGTGCGGCTTACGGAGACAGTAGTGTAGGACGTCGTGGCTCTTGTTCGAAGACCTGCGAGCGCGTATAAGCCAAAACTGTTAGGAAGTTTTTCTACTTCTCAGTTCTGAACAAAGGTTGAACATTGCCAGAGGAACATGGGTTGACAATATCAATTCAGAGTTTTGGAATGATTTCGATTTACAATCTATACTCACTATCATCTACGTTCACAAAGCTCTGAAGAATCCAGAAAACGTTCCAGGCAGTCCCTGAGTGCTATCAGCTTAGCAAAAGTTGACTGAACCATTGTAAAATGAATGGCCACGGTGGGTTCCATGCAACCATTTAGCGCCAGGCTCCAACAGTTTATTGACTTCAAAAGTGCGGAATGAGTTGCATCGTTCGGCGCCTTCTGGCTTCTGTTTAAGCAAAAGAAGATACATAGCAAAATAAAACGAATAAGATCGTGCCCCTCAACATCAAGTAGGCGATATCCGGTGACTTTTTGGAGAGAGGTCTGTCACAATCTCGTAGCCACCCGGCTCGTTGTACATCGAATTGACGTCGCTCAGCGCACCCTCGGCGTCGGTGAGGCCGCAGTCGTTGAGCATGGAGGCGTTCTCGAGCGCTTCATCGTTGGTGGTGTAGCCGGCGCTCTCGGCGTCCTGCTGGTCGAGCAGCGGCTCCGACTGGGCCGCCTCGTCGTCCTCGCTCCACTCACTCAGCTCGCCCAGCTTGTCCTGTCGCTCGGACTCGGCCATGAGCAGCTTCTCCTCCTCTTCAAAGAGCTCCATCTGGATCTGGTCGTGCAGCCCGGCCGGCGGCGAGGCGTCGGCGGCCTCGGCAGCGGACAGACCTCTCTCCCCTTTGTGAACCCTGCGTCCCGGCCCCATGCTTTGGCTGCCCTCCCCCCCCCCCACCCCCACCCCCACTCCCACCCTCCTCCCCAGTCAGCAATCCATCGAGGCCTCGGCTGGGCAGATCTTATAGCAGCGCAGCCCGGCCTGTGCCCTGCCAGTACCCAGTCTCTCGCATAGAATGGATTAAGCTACGGGTACTACTCAGGTAGAACCAATCTTGTATCCAGCTGGGCGTGCAGTGCCTTCTTCCGCGAATAACGTTGCAGAATGTGGATGAAATCTGGCACAGCTCGGGCCGGTTGTCCAGCCGTACGCAAATTTTCGCGCGGAATTTGCCAGTGGCCGCACCACAGCCGCATTCGTGCGGGCAGTGATGTAAGCACTGTGGGTGTCGAACGCGCGCGGCTTTTCTGTTCTGTGAGCTGGAAAACCCAATTAAGGTGTGTTGAGCCGTGCAAATATCCAGGTAGGCTGACTGCATGCCTGCCAGGGCACTCGTTGGCAACATGCGGCAAGACCTGGCGAGTTCAGGAATCATATTCGAAACATGAATCCAAAATCATTGGGTTTACCTTACCAGTTCCCCCAACAAGCTCGAAATTATAACTTGCCGAATCACCTACATTACCCCATGGTGATGATCTGGAATTAATAGACCACTTGTCCTGTGGATCCCTGTCTTGTGATCCCGTTCAGTCAACGAAACAATCTCATTTTGACGATGTGGTCAGTGTTGGCTGTCGTGCATGATGCCGGCCCAGCGCGAATCAAGCCTAGTTTTAGAATGGTCAGCTGCGGAGGATGATGGCATTGACGGCAGAGGTAAAAAAGGCGTCTGCTCGCCCAGGAGCGTCCACTCGCCCCCTCCCCAACAAGTTCTAAACTGTAACATGCCAAACTACCTACATTACTCAGTGGTGATGATCGGTATTGAAAGGCCACCTGGTCTGTGGATCCCGGTCTTTTCGACATCCCGTTTGGTTAAGACAACCTCATTTTGATTATGTAGCCAGTGTGGGCTGTCGTTCCTGGTGCCAGTCCAACGTGAATCGAGCCTGGTTTTACATTACTGAGCTGCGAATGACGATAACGTTGCTGTTGGAAGAGCGTTCCAATCATTTACAACCCAAGAGGTGAATAAGTTCCGATGGACGAAGGTCCTGGCTTGAGGGCTTCTCAGTTTACATTGGTGTCATCATGTCAACCCCGATCCGTGTCCTGTCAGGAACTCGCCCACCGGCCAAGACATGCTTCCGTGAACCCTCTGGAATCTGGAACACTGCACTCATGGCTCCCTTGCGACGTCGGTAGTACAGCGAAGGCGGTTGGAGGAGTCTGAGCCTCTCAGGATAAGGCCGGCGACTTACTTCTCGGACAAAGCGCGTAGCTTGTCACTGAATCCGTTCCGGCCGCTCCTGAACCAGCTTGCCGAACGGACCCCAGGTGATGATGCCATACCCTCGAAAAGATGCGTCAAAACGAAACTACCGTGGTCCTGACAACAGCGGTGGTACGCAGATATCAATGGGGAATGACAGTTTCTAGGAAATTTTACATTGGACTGCTGTAATGGGGTCTATTATTGAACTAACAACATGAAAGGTAGTATCAATCGCGAAATCTCGTCGACATCCATCTACCAGTGTTTTTTGCTGAGCTCTATCTTTATCAGCTCGGAAACACCAGGGGGTGGGGTTCGCATCACCCCTCCCCCTCTCCATCCATTCGTGTTCTGAAAAACGGCAAATCAGGGCGACGGTTAAATAGACAAATTAGACCATTTGTGTGTAATGGGACACAGGCGTACGTTCCTTTTAACCTCTGCCGGTGGAAGAGCGTTCCGAGCATTTACAACACAGGAGCTGATTGATTTCCGATGGACGAAGGTCCTGGCTTGAGGGCTTCTCAGTTTACATTGGTAACATTATGTCACTCCCGAGTCGTGTCCTGTCAGGAACTCGTCCACCACCAAAGACGTGCTTCCGTGAAACATCTGGAATATGGAGCACTGCACTCATGTCTCTCTTGTATATATATATATATATATATATATATATATATATATATATATATATATATATATATATGCCGTGCGTCTGTCTGTCCGTAATATCTTGCAAAGGGACAGACAGCCGCACCTTACACAAACAGTATACATATGCTACTCTAAAACCGACACTAAAAGTTGCATTTGATGCAACCACCAGTGAGCATCTCCGTCACAACACTGCATTACTGAATGCTGTTCATGAACGGTATGCGGGTAAAACCTGGTCATGCCACACAGCCGGGGCTGTCTGTGGGGCGACGTGTCTGGTGACGAGGCGGCGGTCGGGCTTTACCAGCCGTGTGTCGCCGGTCGCGTACTGGCCCTGCGGTGGCACTGCATCCGGCTGCGCGTCGGTGGTTTGCAGCGGTGGCGGAAGTCAAGCAATAAGGGCGGGGGTTGTGCGCCTGATGGATTTTTCCATGCACTATGACGTTTTAGTACATTTTTTAAAGTGTCCGCTCAGCTCTATCATTCTTTTTTGGCATGCTACTACAGTGTACAATATTGGCATATATAATAGATAACCAGAACTGAAGTGGACGACATTCGTTAATAATTCCGTACCAGTCCCATTATGTCAACTTCCACGACTGTGCCCCCCTCCCCCCGCTCCAGTCCTTTCGAGAAATCGACACGCATGCCAGTGCCCACCACGGACATTACCTGACCCAGAGCTCAGCACTCCGGCAGAGACCCCGGCCAGCAGCTGGAGCTGAAGACGAGCCATGGCTCTCTGACCGCCTCACGGACCCGACCCGGTGCAAGGGAGCCCCAGGAAGATCGGTGGTAAATTGCGACCTTAAGACCCGCATCAATAGCGCAAAATATCCAAAAAGACAACATGTGGAGAGACACTGAAAACGTTAAGCGAGTCAAATACTGCACGGCAAAGATCGAGAGCGAAAGATTGCATTTAATAAGATCACATGGAGTGAGGATTGTACAGAATAGGTATCACA